ATCCCATGTTCTGCTACCATTTATTTAACTTTATTTATTATTTCTTAACAGATCATGACTGAACCAGAAGCACTGTACGTCCAGTTACTGTTTGCGTTATCTGACAGGAATTTGGGCATGGTAGAAGCAAACTTTGCATCTCTTGTATATAATGCATTCAAGGCTTTAGAAGTCCATTGGCCAGCTCTGGTGGAGGATATTGAAAAGGTAAGTAAAGCACAATAAATGTTCTTTCTGGAAGTTCAGTGTAATTTAATAGCTTCATCTTTTTTTAATAGTTTTGTTAGTGATATCAGTGTAAGCTAGTGGCATCTTGTTTTTGTTGATTATATACTGGAATAAACTAAAGATTTAGAGCCATCAAAATCATTTATTATCTTTTATTAGCAATTCTACAGTACTATTATTGTCAAGATCCTGTTATGAATATTTTGTTGGACAGTCTTTTTAGTATTATTGTTAATGGTATCATGAGTATCATCTTGAATATAGTTATTATTAGGGTTATCCTTGTATTTATTATGACATTTGTTAGAACAATGATAAAATGAAATGTACTGAAAATTATTAGTTTTTATTGTTAAATTTAATGTTATAATAAACAATATTAAAGGTAGTATCACCATTATATTCAATTTTATTATGATCACATTTTCCTTACGATCATCATTCTCATCACACTTATCTTCCACAAGGGAAGAGTGGATCCTGACCTGAACATCCCGAGTGACATCCGTGAGAAACTCAATGGCATTCTCCAAGCCAACCCAACAAGGGCAGAGGATTTGAAGCGGGAATTCTCTCAAGGATTTACAGGCATTGCTCAAAGAGTTTGGCCGCACTTGAACCTTATATTGTGTGAGTTTCTTTTTTTCAACTATTTTTGATTTGTTTAAAGTTCATCTGTGTGTGTGTGTGTGTGTGTGTGTGTGTGTGTGTGTGTGTGTGTGTGTGTGTGTGTGTGTGTCCGTCCGTCAATCCGTCTATGTTTCTGTGTGTTCTTGTCACTGTCCAGATGTTCTTTCTGTCTGTCAGTCAGAATTTATATTTTATATATTTTTCTTTGTTTTAGCATCTGTCTTTTCTTTATTTCCATATAGATATTGCTTAATTTTTTGCAAGGTATCTTTAAACAGGTAGACCCACTTGATGAAAATCCTAGCTGGCAACTTCTGAGCTAAGCTCTGCCTCATTACCTTTATTCATTGCAAATTTTTATTCTTATTTATTTTTTTCTGGATTCTTTTTCATCATTAATATATATATATATATATGTATATATATATATATATATATATATATATATATATATATATATATATCTTGTTTTTATTATTATTATTATTATCATTATTATTATTATTATTGTTATTACTGAAACCAGTTTCAAAGAAAATATAATGCAAAACCTCTTGTCATAAAATATCACTCAAATTGTTAAGGTCAAGAAAGGGGGGATAGTAATGAAGTCAACAAATTTAGCCAATTAGAGTTCACTGTAAGATATCAGATATAACTAGAGACATAAATATTTGTTTAATTTACTCACTATTGCTTTAAATATTGGAAGTAAGACCAAAAATTGCCATCTTTCATTTGTGATAATGAAGAGAGCCTTACCATTAACAACTGTCAGAATACTCTTGGGAAAAAGTCAATTTCATTTTTGGGTTTATTATGCTAAATGGAAGTGGAGCTACTTGGTTATATGTACCTTGATTTATTGTATGGGTTTCATAAATTTAACATTTTGATAGTTTTGCATTTGCACTTCAACCATGGCTCTTAATTTACAGGTACAACAACAGGCTCTCAACAGATCTATGCTGATCACCTTAGAAAGCTGTACTGTGCAGGATCTGACATATACTCTCCGTTGTATGCTGCTACAGAAGGTCTTCTTGGTGTCAATATGCATCCTGAAAGGGAAAATGCTGTGTATGTTTGATTCATTGTTTTATAATTGATTACCGGTATTGATCATTAGATGCAGATATTTAGGATGTGCAAGTGCATATAGCTAAGAATTAGTCAGATGAGTTTTGTGATTGTTATATGATGGATAGACAGATAGAGAAAGTGACAGAAAAGTAGGACAGTTCAAGTAATTTTCTTTATTTAGGAAAAAAGGAAAATATAAAAAAAAAGCTAATGTTCACAGCTAAGTTAAAGGTTATTACAGTCATAAAAGTTATTTTTTCATTGTTTTGAAAGAAATTCATGGTTTACAGTTTACTATATATGTTTTCTTGGTAATTATTTGTATTTTAAGCCAATCTTATTTTGTTTTTTCTTCAATTTTTTTTTCCAGATATAACTTAGTTCCAAGGGCAATGTTTTACGAGTTTATTCCTATTGATGAGTCTTCCAAGGATCAACCATCAACCCTTTTGAGTGATGAGGTAAAGTACACTGTTGTTATTGTTATTATATCATCTTATTTTATATCAATCCAAAAGTCATGCCACTTTACAATAGCTAAGAAGCTGAATGGTTGATATACAGTGTACATGTTCCTATCCATCCATTTAGTGTTTGAAAGTGCATTCGACCTGATCTTTTGTTTAGGAAGACAAGAAATTTGGTAATGTGAAAGATTACCAGCTTAGAGGGGATGTTAAAAGGTGAATATGGATTGCCCGACAAGGATAAAATTATTCATGCAGCATATTCAAACATAAAGCAAAGTATGCTGTAACTTCAGTTTCTGAAGCTCATTATATCCCATAGCATTATGTAACCAATAAAACTATTCATTAACAGTATGCAGAAGAGGTAAAATGCTCAAAGATGACTTTATAATGTTTGTAAGCAGTGGATGGTTCTGATGACTAATGACTGCTGGATGATATTGTTCTAATATGATTGACATTGGTACCCAACAAGTAGCTATGCACTTGAGTATTTTGTCTCCTTCTATAAAAAAGAAGTTTGTTTATAGACTATTAAAATTGACATATTTCTGTGTACAGTAGAGGACAGCTTATGTCCTGCCTATTTAGTTCAGTGTTTGGTCTCTTTTATTACTGTTGATTTAATATTAACAAGAAAAAAAATGTATTCATTCAAACAGTATTACCTTTGACATAGATCAAAGTACAATCCATCTAAATTATATATTATAGGGATTTTTAATGTCATTTTGCAGAAAAAGAGATCTGATCATAGACTGTAAACACCCTGGATGAATGATTAACAATATAAATATATATATATATTTTTTCTTTATAAAATGAGCTATGTGTTATGGTTTCTGGGCAAATATGAAATATGGTATCATTATTATTATTATTATTCCCACAAGTACAGCTAGTAGTTGATTTTTGTAGTTTTTTTTCATTATTTTTGTGTTATTATTTGTATTCTACTTGGTTATTTTTCAAGCTGTTTAAGTGTTTTAGGGGATTTTTCCCAATTTGACTTCTGAGCTACAATGTTAAAAATTAGTCCTGAGATATGGAATATTTCATGGAACTCCAACTTAGCTAGTGCTATCTTGATTAATGAGTTTGTATTTAAATTTTGTTGTGATATCCATATTTTTTTATCATAATCTACTTATATATTAACCCATTGGACCAGGATGCTTCACTGCCATCATGTGGCCCAAAATATGGGCACCAGGCTTACGAGAGTGGACACTCTGCCGGGTTGGCAATCTGTAGGCAGGGCATAAACGAATACTCATGTGCAGAACTCCATGCCTCCCCTTTACAGTGTTATTTTCTTTATTTATGCATAAGCATTTTTAGTTTTTATCCCATTTACCCAATGATTATATTTGTCATTTGATTTGCTTTATCCAAATGGTAATAGACTGTTAGACATATCATCTCTCTAGGTAGTTTGTAAGAGTGCAATAGTAATAACAATAAGGAACATAATGTTGTTATTTGTGTAATTTTTTTTACTGTTATAATATTAAATTTTCTGTAATTCAACCTGCACCACAAGTCACGGCAGCCAGAAATAGGATCCTGAGCATGGAAATAGAGTCCTCTCTCGAGCCAGCACTCTTCCAGTCATTGCTCATGGACATTACATTCCACACTCATTTATTAAGGGAAATTATGAAAATGAATACAGACACAGATTCAGACACAGAGACAGAGACAGACAGGATGTGTCTTAGGTGTGCATGCTGTGTGTGCTTTTCTCTCCTTCTCTTTCTTTTTCTCCTTTTTATATTTTCTTTACTAAAATTTGTTATGTCTTGAAGGTGAAAGAGGGAGAAACATATGAGCTGGTGGTTACAAATAATAGTGGATTGTACCGTTACCGACTTGGAGATGTTGTGAAGATCAACTCATTTTACAAGAATGCCCCAGCAGTTGAATTCATGTATCGGTAAGCAGAGTAGATTTTCTTTCTTTCTTCTCAATTACTATACTTTTTGTTCAGTCAAGATATATCTTATATTGAATAGTATGTAGAAAAAGACTAAATTTAAGTATTCTCCTTTTTTTCCATTATAAATTTTCAAAATATTGTACGCTCTGTTGGGAATATGTATATTTTTTTGTGTTGGTTTGATGATATTGCACTTTTATATTCACAATATTCAGATGTGCAATTTACTGCATAAGAAGAATGTGTAACATAAAGTATCCATTATAGAGTACTTAATTTGGGACTCATTTATATTGTAATATTGGGGGAGTTGCTTGATATTTGTGTTCACAATTTCAACGTAGTGTTTTCTCAAAAATGGTATGATTGTGTTCTTTCATTGGTTTTACAGGCAAGGACAGCTTTTAAATGTGCGAGGTGAAAAGCTGAGCGAAGAAGCATTTTATCGAAGTCTCCAAAGAATAGCTGGTAGGTTTTTCTTGTTTATGGTTACTGATAATTTTTTCCCATAATAATGTGTAAATTTGGAAATATGTTATTGAAATATGCAAAAGTATTTATTAAACTTTTACATCATTACAGTTACTCCTCAATAATATAACCTTAGGAAGATGTGTGAAAGCTATTTTGTCAACTTGCAATATAAAAATATGTTACAGGCAAACTTGAAGCTGCAATATAGTCTCACAACTATAGTAAAATAGTAATGCTGTAAACTGAAGATTCATACTGCAGTTCCATTTTCATCACCATCTGTCCATAGCCATAATGGGGCATTGGGTGTACCAACAGCCTATTGGGACTGCAGATATAAAATAATGGATCTTGCAGTTCCTTAGAATTAACTGCAGTATGAATTTTCTTTTTAAAGTACTTTAAAAGATTATTGTAGTTTGAATCTTCACTTTTGAGTATTTTTAGAGAAGAATGTTTTAATGTCACATTTAATCTGCTTAACTTATTGCCTCCGGAAAAAAATTGGGTTTGCTTGGCTTCGACTCCTGAGAGTGTGTGTGGCTGACAGGTCTAACCTCTGGGGCTTGTTTTAGACTCGCTGGGCTGCACCAACAAAGTGACATGATTTCTCTTTGTATCACTTGTTGCTAAAACTTGATCAAACCTATGTCAAACCTGTAATAACCTGAATATGTAAACAGAGTCCATTTCAATTATTTAGGTGTGTAAAAGATATATCAAACAAACATTATGCATTAAGTTATCTGGCAGTTAAACTTTTTGAACATCACAACAAGCTTTACTAATTAGCCAGTCACTGCTGTGTGATTATATATACAGTACATATGTATAATTGACTTTTCATGTATAATGCGCTGTATATAAAATTTGTGTTGTTAGAGTTACAATGTTGGTTTTCAGGAAAGATCCTAAATGGAGTTTCTTTGGGAGTTGAGATTTGCAGGTTACTCAGTGTATAGATTGTATTAACTTCATTTGTATTACATTTGCTTTGTTTATTTTTTTCAACCCAATAGATTTACACTGTGTTTAAAAACAGGTTCACAGTTAACTGACTACTGCTGTGCAGAGAGTGCTGCAGTCAAGACTTCAAAGGAAACAGTTCCTCATTATGTAATTTTTGTTGAATATCAAAATGGCCAAGTAATGTCCCAGGACAAAACCTTGGAGGTAAGCAGACCATTGTTTTCATTTCAATACTTGAATATCAAAATTGTTGAATATCAAAATGGCCAAGTAATGTCCCAGGACAAAACCTTGGAGGTAAGCAGACCATTGTTTTCATTTCAATACTTGAATATCAAAAAAATTCTTCATTAGACTCAAATAATCTTAAAAAATTATATTTAAGAATTTGCTTCTGAAAGATGTTCACAACAGTAAACTAGTAATTAACCCATTTGCCCTGGATTTATGTTCTGTCTCCTGTAGTTTTTTGTGAATGTTATTACATACAGATGGCTGCACATGTGCTTAGCTGGCAAGGAGTCTATCAATAGCCCTGTTGCCTGATCCTGGTTTCCCTATTCCTTGAATTGGCGGGAAAATGTTTTTCTTTTTAATACAGTTGACATCAATACTGTTATTATTGTTATTGATATAATGATTATTAAATTGTTATTAAAATCTTGGTAACATTTAAGACAATGAAATAATGCAAAAGACCGTTTCCAAAAGTCGAGGAAAAGGGTAAATGGGTGAGATATGTAGGACTAATAACCAACTCCTTGGAGACTAAGCACTTGTAGAGCCATCTGTGTGTAATTACAATAAATAAACTTGTATTACATTGGGCATGGCATGTATTCTTGCTATATGGGGCAATTGGGTTAAGATACTCATAGTACTAAAGATTTTTATTATACTAAATAGTACTAAAGATTTTAAATTTGCCTTCCTTTTATAGCTTGATGAGGATCTGCGAAAAGAGCACTTTGTCTACGACTCATTTCGCACAAAGGGGAGCATTGCTGTTCCAGAAGTGTACTCGTTGAAGCCTGGCACTTTCTTGGCACTCCGTCAACATTTACTTCAACACACTGATGCTACAGCAAATCAGTTAAAAATACCTCGAGTTCTAGTCAAAGAATCAGCTATTAAGTTTTTGATGGAAAATGTTATCTAATTAAGTGTATAGGAGATTAGAAAATAAAGTCAGGGAATGAGTTCATTATTAATAAATTTTAAAAGGGTCAAGTGCATACAGCACTGCACAATTATTTTCAATAGAAGTATAGTAATTCTTAGAAATTTTACCATTATTATGTATTTAGGTAATAATTCTCTTTAGATTATCTAAATTTATATATAATGTACATAGTGTATATTTATTTATTTTCATTACTAAACAAGAAGCCTTATTAAATATGGTTTATTATCATAGATCTCTGATCTGTTTTATCATTTATTTTTCCTTGATATAATTGCCATCTCTCTCTCTCTCCCTGTGAATGCCAGTGATCTGGACTGGATATAGGTATCAGCAAAAAAGGGTACAACAGTACCCTGCCTCTCAAAACTTATTATTTTATATGTGATACTTTTATTATAATTTTTATACAACTGGTGAATCTGTGTTCATGTGATTCTGCATGTGTGAGGGTCAATATTTGTAAATACAGTCCTACTAATAATGCATTATTCATGAGAAAAAAGAGTTATCTTTCAAGACGATAATTATTACAAGTCCTCTTAATTTTGATTTATTTATTATCAGGAGAATGATGACTTAATAAACTATAAAGTTCCTAATACACATCTTTTTATTCCCCTTCAAACAATTCCTTGTTGGCTCTTGGGTAGACTGTGAACATTTTCAAGAAGAAAAACATTGTATTGGCAGGGAAAAGGGTTACAGTAAACATTTTCATATATTGTGCTATTTTTTTTATTATATTTTTCAACAACTTTGGTTACAATTTTTAAGATAGCTCTATTCGTCTTTGAATATATTGATTTATTTCACTTTCAATATGATGACAAGGCCTGAGTTGGCCAGATTGAAAAATGCAAATTTCATTTTTCCTTCTTTTTACTTTGCAGATGAAAAAAGTACTGATTCTATATACCTGTGGCTTAAGTTAGAAATACATTGCCAAAAAAACTTGAAAAAAAACCTGTTGGGTGCAGGTGGCAAAAATACATGCTATGTCCACAATCATTTTATTTTTTCAGTTGTTAGTCCCATCTCTGCTTACCCTCTTTCTTGTTTTCAGAAGGGTTCTTCTTTTATCATTTTTCTATCTGTTGATATTTATGTTCTGTCCCCTGTAGTTTTTTGTGAATTTTGTTACATACAGATGGCTCCATGTGCTCAGCAGGCAAGGAGTCTATCAGTAGCCCTAGTGATCGATCCTGGTTTCCCTATTCCTTGAATTGGTGGGAAAATGTGTTTTTCTTTTTAATACAGCTGATATTGATACTGTTATTATTGTTATTGATGTTATGATTATTAAATTGTTATTAAAATCTTGGTAACATTTAAGATGATGAAATGATACAAAAGACCCTTTCCAAAAGTCAAGGAAAAGGGTATTAAGCACTTTTAGAGCTATCTATGAGTAAATACAATAAACAAACTTACATTACAGTAGGCATGGCATATACTCTTGCCATCCCTGCTTTTTGGGTTAATAACATTACAATAATCATAACGTTAATAATGATATTAATAGCATTAGAAAAAAGACATTTTCCTGTAAATTCAGGGAATAAGGAAATAGACCAACTAATTAGCTCTAGTGGAGCCATCTGTGTGCAACAAAGCTACAGTGCAGTATATAAATCCATGACCAAGGATGAAAGTAAAAAGTTAAGTCATAAATTTGTTTACTAGATTTTTTATGATAAGTTTCAAAAGTTCTTACACTACCAAATATATTTCTTGAAGACTCAGAAACCACCTTTTGTTGAATCACATTTTAGGATAGTGTGGTATTGAAAAGGGTAAAGCGGGATGAGGGTAAAGTGGATGAGTAAATGAGGCAAGGCAGGGATTAGTAAAGGGGGAAAGGGGAGGTTAAAGGTGATTAGATCAAATGGAAGATACAGGTCAGTGAGAGCTGAAACCATGAATATTTCAGTGTAAAGGAGTTATTATCCAACAAGGGTAAGGGTAAAAAAGTGTCGGAGTTGTAAGAGGGCAAGTATTGGGGAATGAGACAAGGGATCAGGGGTATTAGAATGTCAGGAGGGGGAGGATCCTTGGGAAAGTACTGTTGCGGCAACAGGATTCACAAGTGCATCCAGGAGGGAGCAAAAGGGATAACAGGGAAGGAAGAGGGATTGGTTCAGCTGGAACAGGGGGGGGGGATGAAAAAGAGGATGATGGATGTTGGTAGTTAGGGTCTAAAGGGAACGGGAGATTGGGAAGGTGGATGATGGATAAGCCTGTTTTTTGGGGGTCATGACAGGAAAGTTTTGAATGTTAAGAGTTTATGAAGGGGAGTTGGAGGGAGAGGGATGAAGTGGGAATGTAAGGAGTAGAAGAAAGAGATATTAGGGAGATGTAGAAATATCTTAGGGAGAAGAGGGAGGGACAGAGCAAAGGACAGCAATGGAGTAGGGAGCAAGAGAAAAACCTTGTCAGCATGCTTCCAGTCTGGCTTTGTGTAAAGTGAGGCCAGTTTGAATTTGAGGACTGCTACCTTTGACTTAAACTTGCATGTAGGGTAGCCCTATAAAATATATTATGGGGGCTAATACAATTGGCACATGTGCATGATTGCACAGAGTGGTTTGAAAAATCACGGCCAGGTTGGTCACATACAGGGCAGCAGACTGTGGTGTGATTACTTAGTAGGGTGGCCAAAATGCCTGCATTTCTAACATTAAAAGGGGAGGGGTCAATATGGTTGGAAGGGTAGAACTCTTCACCAACATAATCTTCATGGGGGAGATCATGTCTACAGAAGATGAGCTTGGTGTACGACTTTTGGTGGCCTCTAGGAAAAATTATGTAGCACAGTACTGATACTGCATCATATTTATTTATTGGGCTTTAGTCTCCACCTCCTATGCACCCCCATGTTGACAATAAGCAAGGGACGGGGTGGGGGGGTGGGTGTTACTACATCATAGTCAGTGAGGTAGGCATGCAGGTCATTTACAGTCTGACCAATCTTTGTTATAGAGAGGGCAATCACCCTGGAGCGAATTTGGTATAAGTTTTAAGGGATGAGTGGGGCTGGGCTGGAATAGATTTAACCAGTGAAGTCAGTCAGAGTAGATTATGCACAAGCTTGGGACTCAGGTGTAGAGGGAATCACAAACTATCAGTCCCACTTAACTAAGCTAAAGAGTACTCAAAAGATTTGTCAAGGTGGAAGAAGTTGAAGGACAAGGGCAGAGGAAGAGGGAGTGTGCCAAGTGAAATAGTATTGTGGGGAGGAAGACAATAAGGACAAAGACTAATAATTAGGGAGGAGTGGGTTGAAAATGAAGACGACTGTGGAGGATGAGGAGATGGAGTGGAAGAAGTTGGAAGAGGAGAAGGAATGTTTTCTACAGGTTGCATAATGACCTGAGTGGGTGACTTGGAATAGACCGAGTTAACAGCAGGTATCAAGGAAGGGTAGTAGTAGCTGTGTTCAGAGTTGTGATCACAGGAGAGCAAGAGGTCGGGGAAGAGAGAATGTCAGTAAGGGCTTGTTGATAAAGGGGCCAGCCTTAATGCCCCTAACAGGGGTACAAAATCATTATTGGCTTGGTAAGCCTGGAGTATGTGGGAAAGAGAAATGGTTCACTCCTTCAAGTGTTGAGCTATAAATTCTTAGGTATTTCATCAAACCAAAACGGTATAAAAAAGACAAATATTTAGGTACGCATTTTATTTGTACTACCAACATGGGCCAATAGATATTAAATAAACACAGTCAACACAATTATAATGTGTAAAGCTAATGTTTTAGGTATACATAAAATGAAACTTCAAAGCCATATTCATCCTCTTTAAAGTAACATCACTCTCTTGTAAGTTATTCATCCAATGTAAAATTTCATTTCATATATTGATATATGAAAGAACATCAAAACATCTGTAAGCTGGTGCAATAAAGATTCATTTATGTAACTTATACCAGTACTGTCACTTCAGAACCAAAAAGAGTAGAGAGAGAAAAAAAGGAGAAAATAATTTTTTCTTTACTTTTTCATGGTTACTTAACACACAGCTTCAATTTTATGATGTCAGTAATTATCTTTAATGTCTGACTGAAATTAAATTTCAAAGTACAAATTACCTACTTTTTTAAGGAAAAAAATTACCTGCCCACTTATTCATATAGAGATTAATCAATAAAATGATATATTACACATAACAAATAAAAAAAGCCAGTACTAACCATGTTCCATTTACTATTAGGATTCTCGACAAATGACATTACAAAATAAAATTCAAAATATCAACTGAAAAAACAGAGATGAGAATTCAAGGTTCCTCTGCGATGTTTCAAGAAATTGCGAATAATTACATTCTGCAATATACCATCACACTTTCTTGATTTGCCTCCAGTGTTCCATCCCTTGTATAAAGGGAGACATTACACTTTAATTAGTGACTGAGTATGAGTGACAAGAAAACCTCAAAGCAGGTTATTAACTGCCAATCTTATACATATTGGCAAATGACTCGCACAAACATCAACACACAGTGCGTACTCAAATCACCATGAAAACAGACAGAATAAAATTGTTAAAAGATATAGATAAAAAGATCATGAAACATGGAACTAACAAGTGTGGAAAAAAAAATATAATAATAAACTGTGATGAGGTGACATGCAATATACTGGTTCATCTTTACTTAAAATGTACTATTTACATGACATTACTATCTTAGAGCTAAACTAGATAAAACTGATAACATATATTGTACATCGAGATAATACATTTTTTCATCATCTACTATACCATACATAAATTTTTTCACCAAAAAATATAACTTCTCTTCTCCAATACCTTAGGAAACTGTACAGTCAATCAACATTATAATTGAGCAAGCATTACTATTTGTATCTGCAACTTAATAACCTTGGTTATAAATTACAACTGCCAATTCAAAAATATGTACTCTTGATATGATACTTTCAAAAGGCTGATGTTTCTTGACATTTTCGTTCACAAGCAACAGCACCTTAAGAATATCAGTATCATAACATTTATAAGGGATCACAGCTGGCTTCCAGTAGCCAATAATTTGGACAGAAATAACCTCATACTAGCAAATTCATTTGCTTTAAAATTTGTATTTGTTACCCTGTTTCATTGAGCATTACCCAATGGAAGTTGTCTGACACTATAACTGATCCAGGCAAACAGGCACTATTTCTGAGATGTGAAAAAATTATTCACAGTTTGTGTACTTTCTGAAATTGGCCTTCACACATAGATAGTGAAAGTTGGTGCAGTCAATTATCTCAACCACCCTCTCCCCTGCACACTGGGCTCTGCATATGAGGTACCATGGTTGTAAAAATGACTAAGTGCTTTCTATTTAAAAATATGTTCTATGCAATCAGGGTTCTTGGTCTGAGGAACAGCTATTGTTTAGCTTTGGATTATATGTCATTTTCACTCTAGCCAACTTAACCTTTCAATCTACATGCAAATGCCCATTCAGCTAAAACCTGAAATCTTGCCTGCCAAGAAAAGGAATTTTCATTCAGGGCACTGGACCATATGCAACTAGACTCTCAAACCAGTTTTATTTTTCAATCAGGAATTAAAGATATTGGGACTTAAGGTACAGGTGC